TGGAAAGTCTTCAACACACCAAGAAGATTGGTCACCCTACATCATACCTTCAAGATATTTTCAGTAAAGAGCTATAATACTGGCTAATGCATTTATATCAAAATGTTATTTTCTTTTTAATTAATTTATTTATTGGTTAATTATGAAAATTATTTTGGGGGGCACCTAGGTGGCGCAATTGATTAAGCATCTGACTCTTGATTTCAGCTCAGGTCATGATCTCAGGGTCATTGAGATCAAGCTTCACATTGGTCTCCATGCTGGGCGTGGAGACTGCTTAAGATTCTTTCTCTTCCTCTGCCCCTCTCCCTGCTTGTGCACTTTCTCTCTCTCAAAAAAAGAGAATAAGTAAATAAATAAAAATAAATAAATAAAACAATTATGTTTTTCATCAATATGTTGAAATTGGCCTCCATGCTCAAGTTGCCCACAGCAACTTCTTGCTAGACACGTCTCCAAAGGCAAGGGAAACAAAAGCAAAAATGAATTACTGGGACTTCATCAAGATAAAAAGCTTTTGCATAGCAAAGGAAACAGTTGACAAAACCAAAAGACAACCTACAGAATGGGAGAAGATATTTGCTAATATCCAAGATCTATAAAGATAAAGGGCTAATATCCAAGATCTATAAAGAACTTATCAAACTCAACACCCAAAAAATAAATAATCCAGTCAAGAAATGGTCAGAAGACATGAATAGACATTTCTCCAAAGAAGACATACAAATGGCCAACAAACACATGAAAAAGTGTTCAACATCACTTGGCATTAGGGAAGTACAAATCAAAACCACAATGAGATATCACTTCACACTAGTCAGAAGACTAAAATTAACAAGTTGGGAAACAACAAATTTGGCAAGGATGCAGAGAAAGGGGAACCCTCCTACTGTTGGTGGGAATGCAAGCTGGTGCAGCCACTCTGGAAACCAGTATGGAGATTACTCAAAAGTTAAAAATAGAGCTACCCTATGACACAGCAATTGCACTCCTAGGTATTTATCCAAAGGATACAAATGTTGTGACTGTAAGGGGCACCTGTATCCCAATGTTTATAGCAGCAATGTCCACAATAGCCAAACATGGAAAGAGCCCAGATGTCCATCAACAGATGAATGAATAAAGAAGATGGGGGATATATATATATATATAGAATATTCCTCAGCCATCAAAAAGGATGAAATCTTACCATTTGCAATGACATGGATGGAACTGGAGGGGATTATGCCAAGCAAAAGTAGTCAATCAGAGAAAGACAATTATCATATGGTTTCACTCATATGTAGAATTTAAGAAATGAAACAAAGGATCATAGGGGAATGGAGGGAACAAGAAAATAAGATGAAATCAGAGAGGGAGACAAACCGTTAGAGACTGTTAACTATAGGAAACAAACTGAGGGTTGCTGGAGGGGAGGAGGAGGAGATGGGGTAACTGGGTGATGGGCATTAAGGAGGGCATGTGATGTAATGAGGATGTAATGAGCACTGGGTATAATATGCAACTGATGAATAACTGAACTCTACATCTGAAACTAATGATACTATGATAATTAATTGAGTTTAAATAAAATAATTTTTAAAAAAGCTCGAGTTGCTTTTTGAATGTCATCATCTATAATCTTGGCCCAAGGTGCAGTATCCTGCTGAAGCTACTGCTGTCACCTGGAACTGAGTAAGCCATCTCATGACTAACTATGACAATCAAGTGGTCAGTGTTTTGGTTCAGCAGCAAGTGAAAAGCATTTAATAATAAGAAGAATGGTACTTGGACTATCACTTCAAAGTAAGATGGTACTTAGACAAATTTCTCAACTATTAGAATTATAATCGTTAGGAAACCTCACTGGGAATGGGTGCTCCACGCAGAGTTCATACGCACAGTACTATGTGAGTTCATCAAATCAGGAATGTCAGAATTGATGAGGATGGGCTAAGTTTTATGGCAGTAATAAATGTGAAATCTGAATGGTTTAAACCAACAAATGTTTATTTCCTGTGCACACCACCTATCCTTAAACTCCAACAGATATTGCCCCCATTTTTTGGCCTAACATTTTTTAAAGATTTTATTTATTTGAGAGAAAGAGAGCACCAGCGGGGGCAGGGGCAGAGGGAGAGGGAGAAGCAGACTCCCCTCTGAGCAGGGAGTCCCACTCAGGACTCGATCCCAGGATTCTGGGATCATGACCTGAGCCAAAGGCAGGTGCTTAACCGACTGAGCCACCCAGGTGCCCTTTGCCGAACTTTTTATATCATAATTCAAGTAGACAGCACAAAATAGAGAACTTAATTGATGTTCAAGGTGATAACTCTTTTCCACAAAATAAATATCTTTGGGAAATTGGGGTTGAAATCCTGAACAGAGAATACAAGGTGAATATGAATGGTGATCCAGTTTTTAAAAATAAGCCTAATAAAATATAACTTACTTCATCAAAATCCCCAGAGGTAGCTAGTTTATTAGGTCTTGATTTAGTGGCAGACCTTGGAAAAGCATTTATAGGTTACTGGAGATGTGGTAATCCCAAAGTGGGTAAGTGACAAAACTGCATCAATTTGTAGATAGTAAAAATAATTCACTAACAAACTAGTGGAGTATTCTCAGAAGACCTCTATTGGACCAATAGGATTTCTTAGCATTCATGTTTTGCACTGATGGTTTCCAAATCTGAAAATTATTATTCAGTGGTTTGAGATGATACCCTGGAATCTAAGTTTTTCACAAAGCTCTCCAGCAGATTTTAATACCATTACTATGCAATGTGGACATCTTAAAAAACGAGACCTGTATTTTCAATTTGGTGGAGAGATGCATAAAGGGGCAGAACGTAAATATATTTCCACTCCTATAGTATATATGTCGCAGTTAAGTAAGTCATGGGATCTGGTGCTACTACTCACAGACCATATCAGCCTTTTGAAGACTGGATCACCTGGGCATGATTTCAAATAGGGAAGTATACTATGGACTCAATAATAAAATGGGAGATAAGAGGGAAAACAAAGCTAAGCATCACATCAAAACAGGATCCTGACATGATTTTATTCCAGTGGTTTAAATATGTTCCCATCCTACCCCTTATTCATTTCGTGCCCCCTTTATTAATGAGGAAATAGCAAAGACTGAAGAAGGATGCAGTTTAATTTGTCTAAATTGGGACAGTGTGAATTAACTTTGACCCAGAGAAAAAGCTGAGCTGGGAACCTTGAGGTTTATAACACGAAGCAAATCCTGATTCATTTCTGATGCATTCCCACCAAAAAAACCCTGAGATTACACAAGAGGTTTTCTACGAAACATTGCAACTATGCTCAAGGCAAAATTACAAGATATAATTTATTTTCAGCAGTCTTCAAAAACTTTCTCTCACCTCCTGCCCCTAACTACTAGTACAAGAAATATGTGAAGCCTACACAACCTGTAACAGTCCACCAATTTAAGTGTTTAGTATGTGAAAGCCATTTGCGGTGTTACAGGATTTTTGTCCCCTTGGTGCCTGGGTTCTTGGTCACGCAGCTTCAAAGAATGAAGAGGTAGACCAGAGGAAGAGTGGTGGGCAGCAAAGCAAAGTTTATTGAGCAATAGTATAAAGCTCCCCAAGAGGGAGGGAGGCCTGAGGGAGTTGCCTTCAGAGTTTCTAAGTTTAGGGGTTTTTATGAGCTCTTTTGCAGAACTTTCTTAAGCAATCAGGGTGTGCTGAGTAGTGCCAATCAGGGCTTTGGTCACGTATCTGTCTACCTGTTAGGTTAGTATCACTGCGCTGATGGTCTTTTTTTTTTTTTCTGACGTCTGGGGGCTGAGGTCTTAACTGCCCCTTGGCCGTGATATTGACAAATGCTTTGTGGTTAATTGTCTTATTTTAGGCTGTTGTGCAGAAGTCATTTCTGCAAAGGCTGCAAAGCAAAATGTCAGCGCCATCCTGTCCAAACTGCAAAACAGGATGTCAGTGCTGTTTTATTTTAGCTGTCCGGACTCCATATTTTCTTCTTGGGGACCCTGGCCCTGACTACCTACTTGTCCAACTAACTCCTAACAGTGGGACTACAAATATAAGTGATACAAACTGCCAATGCTCCTGGTGATGGGTATTAAAGAGGGCACATTCTGCGTGGAGCACTGGGTGTTGTGCACAAACAATGAATCATGGAACACTGCATCAAAAGCTAATGATGTAAGGTATGGTGGTTAACATAACAATAAAAAAATTATTAAAAAAAAAGCAAACTGCCAATGTTTATTATTTAGTAATAAAAATAAAATACTGCGATAGAGATATTAACAAGAACAATCAAACTTGCAGGCACAGAAAAGGCTTATCTAAAACGCCCCAAATCCTAAAATAATTGCTTTCCCCAACTCCTATACAGTACTGCAATCTGGTTATCAGGTGCGCTATGATTGCCGATTTAACTAAATCCCCTTTGAGAGTATCCACATTCTGAAAGAGTTCTTTTTTTTTTTTTTTGAAAGAGTTCTTTTTTAACCTAAAAAATCCTCTAATTAGGAAGTTCATTCAGCAGTGAAGGGCCTCTCGGACCTTCAAGTTTTAATCTGAAAGTCTTAATCTTAGCTTCCATAACCAACGCTCCCCTCCCACCCTCCAAATCTGATGAAATCAAATGCCTTGGAATCACAGGTTTCAATTCAGATCGCATGAGAGAAAAACGGGGGAAATGTGCAAATTTTCAGGGCTTGGGGATTGCAAACGTGGGGGAGCGACGCCATCTCCTGGTAAGGGATGGGAACGAGCAAGAAAAAAGCCAAATGCAACTTGAGAGTTAAGCAGCGGCAGCTTTCGTTTCAAAGCGTCAAGCCGCGAATCTCCGGCGTCCGTGGACTCCGAGAACCGCCCCTCCTGGTGGCTCTGACCACTCCAGTGAGCCCTGCTCAACGTGATTGACAGGCCAACAGCCCGGTCCGTTAACGAAACTCGTCACTCCGGAAACAGTGACCGGATCCCTCCGGAAGCTCAGGGTCCGCGCTCTCCCAGCATCCTTTGCTTTCCGGCTATGCTCAGTCCTGTCCGGCCAGTCCCGCCTTGCGCGCCCATTTCGAGCCCGAGTTTCCAGCTCGACTTTGCACGCTCGAGAACCCGGAACAGATTTTTCCAGGACTCGGTTCTTGGGCTGTGGCTATGGGGGCAGGAATGGCGCAGCTCGAGGGTTACTACTTTTCGGCTGCCCTCAGCTGCACCTTTTTGGTGTCCTGTCTCCTCTTCTCCGCCTTCAGCCGGGCGCTGCGAGAGCCCTACATGGACGAGATCTTCCACCTGCCGCAGGCTCAGCGTTACTGTGAGGGCCATTTCTCCCTCTCGCAGGTGGGGTCCCCAACCTGTCCCCACCCTAGGACAGGCTGGAGAGGGCCAACCCAACCCCCGCACTACTTTCTTCCACCCTTATCCCTTTGGTCCCTCCGATCTACCCTTCCAGCTTCGAAATAGGAACTGGGTAATCTCTTGTTCCTGTCCCTGAGATCTGTGAAGTATTTGTTTAGTGAATGAGTAGAAGCAGATCTATGTCCTAGGAAGTAATGTTCTGGGAGATTAATGTATTTGCTTTGCCGCAGGGTTCAACCCAGACACACGATACGTTTCCCTCTTAGTAGCTGATAATAGCTCTCCCAGGTTTTCTTCCCCAATCCCTAGATCAGAGGCAACGGGCTGCCCCTTGGAAATGTCAGAAAACTTCACTTTAGATCCCTCGTCAAGAGCTTCACTGTGGGGTACCGTGGGGAATACCGTGGGGAATACCGTGGGGAATGAGGGGAATCTTCAGCCACCAAGAAGTGGCAAGTTCCGTTAATTCCATCCTTGGTGTTTATAGAACCTTCTGTTAACTGGATAAACTGGCACCCAGTGAAGTGGCCTCATGTTTGAATATATGATTGGCATGTAAATATAGAGTTAAAAAAGTAAATGTATTATCCTTACTCTTCTGGGAGAGCAATACAGAATAGTGGTTAAAAATAAAAGTCTGTAGTTAAAAGACCTGATTTTAAATCTTTGTGCTGTTATTTACTGGTTACCTGACCTTGGACATTTTTTGAGTTTCAGGTTACTCATCTGAGAATGACAGTTATAGCAGGATCTACTATAGGACATTTTGCAGGATTAAATACAGAGGATTTAGCACAATTCTTGGCTCAGTACATGTTAGCTATCATTATAGAGCATGTGGTTTGATCTCTTTAAATGCTTCTTTCTCTCCAAAACTGATGCATCAGAGTTCCAGCCAATGTTTCCACACTTTAAAACTGGAACATTTGGAATTTAATCACCAAAATAATCTTCAGAGTCTCTGAAGGGTAGGTCTGGGAAATGGAAACTGATACCAAGTTAGTGTTGTCTACTGGATACAGATACCTCTGCACAAAACAGGTACAGAGGCAAAATATAAGCAAAACTTTTCTTTCCAGGAGACATTTCATCTGCTGAGGACTTATTTAACCAGCGTGTCACAGAATAACTTCCCAGAATGTGTTTTTGAGCTTGACCTCCTTGTGTCGGTCCTGTCAGTGTTTCATCTTGCTCTTGTTTCATTGTTGGCCTTTTCTTTTTAAGTGGGATCCAATGATTACTACATTACCTGGCTTATACCTGCTGTCAGTTGGAGTGGTCAAACCTGCCAGTTGGATCTTTGGATGGTCGGAACATGTTGTCTGCTCCATTGGAATGCTCAGATTTGTTAATCTTCTTTTCAGTGTAGGCAACTTCTATTTACTCTATTTGCTTTTCCGCAAGGTACAACCCAGGCACAAGGTATGTTTCCAAACTAATTTATTACAAGTTTATATTTGGTCAGGTCCACAATTGTGGTAAATTGCTTTTATGAGATTGGGTGAAAAGTATCTTCAGCTCTTAGTGTGTGTGTGTGTATTTTGTTAAGATAAAAAGCAAGTCCCCTACCCCCATTTTAGAAGAAATTTGCATTTAAATACTTGAATAACTTATTTACTTGTGAAACCTGAAATAAATATTTGTGACTCAGATGAGTTCAGTAAATGTTTATTGTGCTTATTACGTGTGCTAGGCACCGAGACCGCAGAAATAAATAAGGCATTTTTTTTCTTACCAAATTTTTATCTTCACTAGGGAAGACAGAGGAATACCTATATTTACCTCAGGAATTTTGAGGTGGATTGCCTGGCTTTGAATTCTGTCCATTTACAGGTTGTGTTACTTTTAGCTGGTTACCCTTAGTGACTCCATGTCTTCATCCATTAAATGGGAATAATATAGAATCTGCATCACAGGACTGTAAGGTCTACAGGAGCTTAATAAATGGAAGGTGCTTAGAACAATGCCCGATAGAATAGTAAGGACTCAATAAATTGTAATTATAATAATTTTTAACTTAAATGATTTCAATAGTATAAATTGTGAGAGGGAGATAGATAAAAGATACTATGAGGACAGAGGAGGAGTAGAGGAGCACTTATTTTGCAGCCTGACTGGCAGGAAGATGTATGGGTGGCATTGGGTAAGACTTCACAGAAAAGGTGGTACCTGAGCTGAATCTTGATGAACAGACAGGACTGTAGGATGGGGAATGAATCCTGACAGGAGAAAAAAACATAAGCAAAGGTAGAAAGGAGTTGAGCAACAAGATGCAGGGAGAATTGCTATTTGGAGTCCCAAGATTATAAAGTATAAGGATGTGAGGCTGGACAAGTAGATAGGGGTGAAGTCATCAGTGTCCTTATATGTGATGGAAAGGATTTGACCTTTAGCCTTGAAATTTAACCAAGAGAATGGCATGGTCTGATTTGGTGATTTAAATACTGTGGAGGATTAAAAATTTCAGGAGATAAGAATGCTTTCAAAGTGGGAAATAGTCTGTGAGAAATGCCAAAATAAGATATTTAACTTTAGACTGGGCCACTATTTTCAGGAAAAACCCTGTAAGTTCATCATGAAACAGTAAGATCATTGGGTATAGTAGTATAAATGCTATATACATATTTACATTCTCTCTAAAGTAGAGTTTTGAAGGGGGTATCTTTAAAAGAAATTGATAAGAAATTGATGACGATGGCTAAATGAATGCTCATTGGCGGCACTAAGACTTAAGTTCAGGGAAATGAAACCATGTGCTCTATGTCCCATTCATCAACTTGTTCCTTATAGAATTTAGTTCATTGTCTTCCACACAATAACTCCGTAACTATTTGCTGAACGACTCAAAGTATTTCAGGATGTAGAAGCTTTGGCATACACATGTATTGTCTTCATGGCTTCCAAACCTATTGATATAACTAAAAGGTACCAGAAAGCATCCTTACAGTTGTATATTGTGTTTTTGCAAAACTAGAAATAAGATTAATATTGAATAATTTTACTTAGGATTCAGATAGTTTTTTTAATTAATCTCTTTGTTAGCTCAGCAGAAATGGCATATTTGTTTTATTGTAAAAATAATTTTACATGTGTTTTCTCTTCCCCTTAGGCTGCCTCAAGTGTCCAGAGGATCTTGTCAACGTTAACATTAGCGGTATTTCCCACACTCTATTTTTTTAACTTCCTTTATTATACAGAAGCAGGATCCATGTTTTTCACTCTTTTTGCCTATTTGATGTGTCTTTATGGAAATCATAAAACTTCAGCTTTGCTTGGATTTTGTGGCTTCATGTTTCGTCAAACTAATATCATCTGGGCTGTCTTCTGCGCAGGAAATGTCATTGCACAAAAATTAACTGAAGCTTGGAAAACAGAGCTACAAAAGAAAAAGGAAGAGCGGCTTCCCCCTATTAAAGGACCATTTTCAGAATTCAGGAGGATTTTTCAGTTTCTTTTGGCTTATTCCATGTCCTTTAAGAATTTGAGTATGCTTTTCCTTTTGACTTGGCCCTACCTCCTTCTAGTATTTCTGTTTTGTGTTTTTGTAGTTGTGAATGGTGGGATTGTTATTGGCGATCGAAGTAGTCATGAAGCCTGTCTACATTTTCCTCAACTCTTCTACTTTTTCTCTTTTACTCTCTTTTTTTCGTTTCCTCACCTACTGTCTCCTAGCAAAATTAGGGCTTTTCTTTGCTTAGTTTGGAAACGTAGAATTCAGTTTTTTATGATTACCTTAGTCTCTCTGTTTTTAGTTTGGAAATTCACTTATGCTCATAAATACTTGCTCTCAGATAATAGACATTACACATTCTATGTATGGAAAAGAGTTTTTCAAAGATATGAAATTGTGAAATACTTGTTAGTTCCAATATATATATTTGCTGGTTGGAGTATAGCTGACTCATTGAAATCAAAGTCGATTTTCTGGAATTTAATGTTTTTCGTATGCTTGTTTACTGTTACGGTACCTCAGAAACTGCTAGAATTTCGTTACTTCATTTTACCTTATGTTATTTATAGGCTTAACATACCTCTGCCACCTATATCTAGGCTTGTTTGTGAACTGGGTTGCTATGCACTTGTTAATTTCCTAACTTTTTACGTCTTCCTGAACAAGACTTTTCAGTGGCCAAATAGTCAGGACATTCAGAGGTTTATGTGGTAACATCAGAGATATCTTGAATTCTAAAAATAGACTGACTGTTTAGACTGTCTCCACAGTGAACAACTGAACAGGTAAAAATTATGGACTTTCTTTTGGGCACAATGGTGATCCACAGATCACATCAGATTTTTTGTGTTTTAAACATCAGATATATGTGTTTTAAACATATATAATAAATCCGAGGAAGTGGGAAAGAACTGAGAAGAGTTTAAGATTTGCTCCATAAGCCTGAATAATGGAAAATGAAATTGTTTACAGTTATTTCATGATACCTCTTTGGTACTGCTGGCCACTCAAAAAGTTTGAAAACATTTTACAGGTACAAGTTTGAGAAAATTGAACTTTATAGTACTGAAACTTATTTATTTATTCTCTTCAGAAAGCAGTAGCAGACAAAGTGTTTGAAAAAATTCACAAATGATCAGGTAATATTCTTGATTAAAAAGTTACAGTACATTTCAGTAAGTTACAGAAAACATTTTCTGTATGAAAAGTTACAGAAAACATTTCAGTAAATATAATTTTAATCATAAGGCAAAATAGATTCACATAGATAATAAATGTTATAAATTAGAGACTCATCTAGGTTTATCTTGTAATTAAGTTGTTTTTTGTTAAATGTCTAAAAATGATCAAGCCCTTTCACTAATTTTTATTTTCATTTTATTTTTTTTGAGAGAAAGAATGCACACATGAGTGGCTGGGGGAGGAGTACGGGGAGGGCAGGGCAGAAAGAGAGGGAGAGAGAATCTTAAGCAGACTCCATGCCCAGTGCAGAGCTTAATGCAGGGCTCAGTCTCGCAACCCTGAGATCATGACCTGAACTGAAATCAAGAATTGGGTGCTTAACCCACCAAGCCTCCCAAGCACCCCACTAATTCTTTTTTTTTTAATATTTATTTAAGTAATCTCTACACCCAATGTGAGGCTCGAATTCATGACCCCAATATCAAGAGTGGCACACTCTATTGACAGCCAGCCAAACGCCCCCCCTTTCACTAATTCTTAGTATGAAATGTGTGATGGCCAAAGATAAATTGTGCTGATGATAATACCTTTTTAAAAGGGATTTTCTTTCTGAAATACATTACTATATTAGTTTCTTATGGCTGTCGTAAGAAATAACAACAAACTTGGTAGCTTAAAAAAAGTCTCTCATAGCTCTCAAGGCTGGAAGTCTAAAATTAAGGTGGTGGCAGGGCTGGATACTTCTGGAGGCTCTGAGGGAGAATCTAGCTTCTGGTGGCTGTCTGCAGTTCTTGCTGTTCCTTGGCTTACAGATGCAGCACTCCAATCTCTGCCTCTGTCTTCACATGGTCTTTCTCTTATAAGGACAATGTCATTGGGTTAGGTTTTACCCTAATCCAGGATGGTCTCATGTCGAGATCTTTAATTAATCTACAAAGACCCTTTTACCAAATTAAGGGCACATTTACAGGTTCTGAGTAAACTTTTTTGTGGGACACTTTCCACCCACTGAAGTTACCAAAGGATATTTTAGGATAAACCTCATAAAATTTGTAGGAAATAATTTCTTTGCTGAGATATTTTAAATTATGTCTTTACTGAAAGGTAATTCTGAGATAACAATTACAAAAGAAAAGGTAATTGGTATTTGATTCCATTATCCAAAATAGAATTGAAAAGAATCATTGGTCTAGTCTTATTTTGTAGATTAGGGAGCAACCGCTTGGATAGGATTTTTTGTGTGAGTCTGGATTCTGTGTCTCCTGTTCCGTGTACATTCATTGGGTTGTCATTCTGTTACAGAAAAGTATTATTTGGACATGTTAACTTTGACATGCAAACTTAGAACTGTGAATACAATTTATCTTTTAATCTCACTTTACATTTGTAAACTTAAAAATAACTGTAAACAAATTACTTTGTCTTCAGTGTTGGATTGTGCTTTCTCTGGGTTTTAAACACTGGGTACACGTGGAAAGTATTCTGCATTTGCAAATATAAAATTGTGCAGGTGAAAATTACAGGTATAGTCTTGAGTAGTAAGTACAGGGCAGTCTTGTACTCTGTTCAGTACTTAGAAAGTAGGTTGACTCTCTAGTTGTAACAGTGATTGTTGACAGATGTTTTTACTCATTTTGTTTTTTGGTAATTAGATAAGAAAACACAAAGAAATTATTATTTTATGACGGAGATCTGAGTTCCAGGATGTCAAAATAAATAACTTTCTTATCTGTTATTATTAATGCAAGGCTTTTGTAATTAGGAATATTTCTGAGATGCAAAAACTTTCCCTCTAATCCATTCTGGCAAACATGAGGAAACCATTCCACTCCATAGATTGGGGGAATCACTGTTCCAGTTCATTTGTAAGTGTTGAATTCCTGCTATTTTAAGAGATTGTTTGGAGGAAATCCACACCCAGAGGGAAACAGGTTAACCTTCCATGTTTTCCATAAAGTATATAAAATACAGTATTTAACATTTCAGAAAAGAATACTGTGAATTAAAAGGTGCTGTGGAGCATAGCTTTTAGAAACATCATAAGTTGCATTTGTGTTTTGAATATTTTTCAAGAATTATCAAATACATATTTTTGACATGAATTTTAAAAAAAATTAAACGTAATTGAATTTCTTGATTAAAAGATGATTATTAAAAAAATTATCGATAAGTTGAGCCTGTGGAGCCTTGCAATTACTGTTAAAGTCTTTAAGTAGAATTATTTTAAAGAATGTCATAAAAAGATTTAGTCCATACATTTTTAAGCCTTGTAATAAATCCTTTTGAACTTTTTCTACCTTACATGAAATTCCATAGATAAAAAGTATTTCCAAGATAAAAAGTATATGGCGTTAGTAAGCTTGCAGTGTGCTGTGTGTTTCCTCACATATTATTAATGTTTTCTTTTAGTGGATATACCTAGAAACCTTTTTAATGTATCTAACTATGTTTTTAAATTATGTGAGCTGTCTGGCCTCTTCCTCCTCTTAAAAGTTATTTCTGGAACGTGCTTAAGTCTATCATGAAGTACATTAATATAAGTAGCTTTAATGCAGTTTATTTCTAATAGATAAATAGCTTAATGTAGTATATTTCTAGTTTGAATTTAACTGCCACTGTGCTTGACATTTTTTTTTTTTTTGATAATTGTCTGAAGACAAGTGAGGAGAAGAAAAGAGATCCTCATTTTTATTATATTCCCTAAATAGTGGACATTTATTTTAGATAAGCATTTAAGTAAAATGTTGATATGAAAAATAATCACGTTGATTAGGTTAGGGAGCATTTATTATCTTTAAGGCAATTAGAATTTCCTTAAGGGAAACAAGAAAGAAGTATCATGCAAATAATATGAGAAAGCTTTTTCGAATGGAAATTTAAATATGACTTAGGAACCATGGGCTTGTAGAAAAAGCACCTAACATGAAAGTTAGGATTTCTGTATTTGTGGCTTTAGATTCAGTAAAGCAAGTGATTTAATCTTTTGTCCTCATTTCAAATGAGAACAGATTTGTCCTGACTCTGGTTATTCTAGCCTGACATGTGTCTAGCCTTATTTCAAAAATAATTCAGCCCCCGCCATATATCCATAAAGTTCATAAATATATCATATAATAAATGTCAAATAAATGTGTACTGAATGAAGTTTTTAGTATAGAATGAAGTGAATGTCTTAGAAAAAACATACTATATAACCATAAGCTAATTTTAGGAAATAAATCACATGCTTCATAATGAAAGCCATCCTAAACTTTTTTCTGCTTAAATTTTTTGACCCAGTTTTAAATTTTTTTGTTTACTGTAGTGTTTAAAACTTACACATGTATCTACTTGTAAATACGTTATATGTTGTTATTTATAATAGGATGTGATTTCAAAATTTTTGCTGTTTATTTAAAATAAGAAAAATAAGTAACTTTCAACCATTAAAATACAATAGCAGTAAAACTTCTGATGCTTATTAAACTTTTAAGGAACAGAGATTTCAACCAGTTATGAATAATTTGTGTTATTTTAGTTAGGCTGCATTTTAGTACTTTAGGGATACCTGTCATTTTTTATTTAGGGTACTTTTTTATGTATTTAAATGTGGACAATATGACAAACATTTCCAATATATTAAAACTTGTATAGCTGAGAAAATTAAAAATGGATAGATGATATATTTTTTAACACCCATGAAACTAACAGTAAATTCTTTAACATTTGGAAATTAGGGTAAGAAGTGTTGCCACAGTGAAAAAATCCAATGATATCATTGTATTTTGCTTGTTAAAAATTGGGCATTTGATGAATTTAATGTTAATTAAATTTGAGCCCAGTGCATCACCATCAGACAAAAAGAGATGCGGTATTTTTCCGAGGAGATAAATATGAAGCATTGTATTGATTTTTTTCACACTGACTGGAACTTTACCATGATTCAGTTCAGTTGAACCATTGGGGTTGGGGGGACATACAAAATGAGGAAGTGAGGGAAGAAAACTAATGATAACTAATAATTGCTATCATTTATTGAGCACCTACAGTGTTCTAGGCATTACATTGGCTGATTTATAAAACGTTGTCTCATTTGATCCTCCTCATATTTTGATGAAGCAGATACTGATTTCTCTTTGACTACTGGAGAAACTAAAGTTCAGGCAGATCAGGCAAGTAGCCTAAAGTCCGCGCTGTCACCTAACATAGATTGGTCTGACTGCCAAGCCTGTGAGTTTTCAACTGAGACCGCCTCAGTGAGAAAATTTTTCATTAAGAGAAGTAAAATATGGAGAGAGAGGTGGTAATCTGTCTTTACTCTGCATTAGCCAGGACATTCATGACATATTGTTTATTGTATGTAGTCATTTTTTAAAATGCTAGCAACTGTTTAAAGGAACACAAACAGGTAGTTGTAAGAGAAAAGGCTTTTCAAAGAATATATAGGATGTTTAACTTGGAGAAGTAGAGATCCTACAACTTGATAAGCTCTCATAATTGAAGAATAATTATTTGGAAGAGGGATTGGACTAGTCTGTTTCCTGAGGTTTATATCAAGGGCCAACAGATTTCAACAGATAAATGTACATTCTCTAATTGTTTAGTCTCTGGGAATGGATCCAGAAAAAAAGTAAGTTTCCCCACTCATTGGCAAGATTTCTGTTTATCAGGAATGCTTCAGAAGATGATTCAGATAGTAAGTAGAGTAAAATGTTTTAAGATGCCTCAACCCGGTGATTTGAAATTCATTAAGTTTGTTACAACTAATATTTTTTGCGTTAATTGATAAGTCATGGTGAAGTATTTCTGGTGAATTGCATGCTGTCTTTAATATATTTTAAATTTCTGAACAAAAATTGTACTTTTAACTGCTACCTTGTTTAGAAATAAATTTGAGATACACAACTTAGTAGGAGGTATTTTTAGTTATAGTGTTTAAGA